AGATCTGAATGTATTCCAGACTGACAATTTAAGTTCATTAAGCACATATTATTTGCCAGGCACTAGTAATATAAAAACCAAAATGACAAAGTCTTTCCCTCATGAGTATTTCAACCTAATATAAGAAAACAGACATGGATCCCCAAAATGGTAAATTGCTTCTAGGACTTGGTCAGAAATACTTCTGAGCTGTTTCAAAAGCAATGGAATATATGGCTCTAGAGTCCAAAGGAACATCTGGATTGGCAATACAGAATGAGACATACACGCACACATGCACGCACTGCAGTGGAGATGCATCATTCAAATTTATTTAATATTATTTCACGACCAGATGCAGATGCCATCAGCAAAAAAAAAAAAAAAGAGAGAGAAAGAAAGAGAATCAGGGATAATTTAAGTAGTGAGGCCAATTTCTGATGTTACACTCAATGTGCATACACAAAAAGTGGATATGATCATGCTTGTATGGATCCATGTATATTGGAAAAAGAAGGAAAAGAATGTGAAAATGATTGCAAGGATTTTCAATGCTGTTTAGGAAGTCAATAGCATTATTTATGAACCTGGCAGGACTTCATCAACATCATGAAGGAAGAATTTGAAAAATTAATTGAGGGCTAGGTAGAAGAGATAGAGCACTTGATGAAGTGTTTCACCAAAAACAAAGACGATGCTGACAAACAGGAAGAGCTAACAGGTTGGAATCTTTATAAATCAATAAAATATTCCCAGCAGTAACATTTGATAAGAGTTTCTTAATTCCTTTCAGGGAATTCCATATGATGTATTATTGCAGTACACAGATAAATAAATGGTGGCTTGCATATAGAAAACCATATTCATACTTTAAGGGCTTTTAGAGGGCAGTCGTGATTATACATAATCTTTACTGAGACTTTAGAACTCAAATGCCTAAAACATGCGACTCCACTGAAATTGAAATTCAGGGAGTGGAAGGGCTTTGCTGGGCAAAGCAGAAATAGCAGCAAGAAAGAGGAAAGGGGCCAAGAGCAGTAAGCCAGAAACCAACATTCAAGGGACAAGCAGGAGCCTGGGAAGGGAGTAATGGGGACAGAGGCTCAATTATTGCTCCACTTAGGAGTAAATGTGAGGTTAGGAGGGAAATGCAAAGGAGCTTGGTGAAAGGAAGAGGTAGGGCTGCAGGATCCAGGAAATACGTATATATTTTAATGGCAGAAATTAAAACAAGCTGATAGCCAGTTGGGGAGGAGTCAGTAGAGTGAGCTGATGAAAATAGAAGAAACAGAAGACAGTTATGTGGATACAAAGAGCTTGGGGAAGGAGTTAGCCTTGCAGAAGCTGGAGAGATGACAGTATAGACACAGATAAATTTGTAAGCATGAAGGTGAAGAACTAAGGTATCACCTCACTTTTTTCAAGGAAATAAATGATAAGGGTACTTTATCAAGGAAGGAGACGGTGGATAGTTGGGTAGATGCCTTGGGGAGAACCCTAAGAAGGAACTCTGGATTCATCCTTCTCTTTTCACCTCTTAAGCATAAGCAAGGGCTGCCAGCACAAATACACAGAGACCTTGAAGATTTAATCTAATGAATATTTTTCCTCATTAGTAAAAGCAATTGATTTTACAGCATTCCTAAAGAAGTCCTGGACACTACGATGTATTTCTGGTACTCCAGACTCAATGATACCCTGATATTCAGAATTCCTTTCACTCATTTCTAGTGGGGTTACTATTGAGGGCCAGTACTTCCCATCCATTCCAAGTTCAATACCATCCCTTCCATGAAGCTTTTGAAGATATCTCCCAGCACGAAGTAAACACTCCCTCTGCTTAATCCCATCACTTACCTGCACATGGTAATTACACATTTATAATGGAACAAAATGATCTTTCGAAGTTGACATGCTCCTGATTGGTTTCATTACTGCACTCTCTTTGTGACCTGTATTGATGACTTCGCTGGAATCACAGGATTTTAAAACTGAGACTGTGTTGAGAAACAAGAATGCTCTTTCTGTGCCTTTTGCCAGGTGGATATGAATGGGAAATAGATAAATAAATTCTAGAGGTTCCAGTTGGGCATATATGAAGGGCAGAAATTTTTTATAGGCTTGGAGAATCTGGAGGTAGATTTTTTTCTCCACATACAGTCCAGGCAAGAAGTTGACCAATTTGAGACTGTGCCTACCTCCATCTTTGCCATCAAGAGACAGATGATTGCTAGCATAAAACTCCATATCTAGTCAAATGGGTGAGTCCATGGAAGTAAGATATTTCTTGACTATTCCAAAGATTCCTTTTCAGAACTAACACTGTACATGGATTTCTCTCCCCACAATGGGAGACTTCAGGGCTTGATAATAGTCATGCATCTGGAATGAGCCAGAGAAGACCTCTTCTAATGCATTAGAAAGGCCACAGCCAGCAGGGGACCTCACCTAGAAGCATCTTAGCCTTGAGACACCTGTCAAATCGGCTGAAGGTGAATAACTCTTCAGGGTGGAGGCAAACTAGGAGGAATAGAAATGTGCTGTGCCTGCTCTGGGGATTTTTGGGTCCTCTTTTGTAGCTCTAGGGTGAATCAGTGGTTAGAGGTTCTGGGAAGGCCAGAGCCATGGAAAATATGACTCTCAAACAAAATTCAGTGAGTATACTGAAACCAAATCTGCCACCTGTAGGTCCCAAGTATTAGTAAAACAAAATGAAAACAAAGCTAATTACGTGCAGGGCAGGCAGAAAGGAAAAAGAAAGCTCTTACCTTCAAGGGGCTACTTCTGTTTTCTTTCTGGCAATAGATTCCCTAGTTCCACCCAACCACTAGCTACCAAACCCAGGGGTTGTTTGGGAATAATATCCTCTATACTCTCCATACATACAACTCTTATTTCCCTGCATAGATCAAGTACTTTGATTACAAAATCTGTCTGATTCACTTTTGTTGGCCTCACTACTCCTAGACCAATGTTTACACATGGTAGTTTTCAGTAAAGGACAATTAATAGAAATTTCTTTTCTAGATTTGGATACTATGAGTTTTAGATGTTAAAACATAGCTTTCTTGGGTCTTGGGAAACCAACGGTCATAATTAGGCGTATTGATATGCTTAAATAGCTTTCATACTGAAAAAGGAACTTGGAACATTAGAAATGGATATGCCTCTAAAATTAATGATATGCATAAAATGTGGGGAGTGTCTGGCCAGGGTAGGAGACAATAAGGCTCTTTATTATACTCCCTCACTTTCATGAGTTATTAAAGGAAACTGATGCATAAAGAATCATGCAACATTCATTCCTCCAAATGCATCATTAGATTGTTCGGTAGGATGTGGACAGCCATACTTTACCACTTGTCTCCTTCATTGAAGGCATCACTTTCCAAATGTCAATATTCTAGGAGACTTAAATTTATTGGCACTTTTCATTCTGAACAATATTTTTTGTAAGGCTTCAGTGAGGTCTGGAATAGAATTCCACTGCCAAACATTAGCCCATTAGGCTTATTTGACAGATTTCCATTCTAGAGGTGTATATTCAAGTATCAAAGAACACAGGAAAAGGGTAAAGCTGTAAGTAAGAAAGGAAGTCTGAATAAAGCAATAGCCAAAAAGAATGACAAAAGACCAATGGACTTCTAATGATAAAAAGAAATAAAGAAATGTAACAAGAGTAGTATAATAAAAAAGTAAGCCAGGTATGGTCCCAACTACTCGGGAAGATTAAGTGGGAGGATCACTTGAGCTTAGGAGTTTGAGGCTATGTGCACCATGATCACACCTGTAAATAGTCACTACACTCCAGCCTGGGCAACATAGGGAGACCCTGTCACAAATAAATAAATAAATAAAATAAATAAAGTAAGTAAGTAAGTAAAAGCTTACAGTTCTATATGTTGATAGTCAAATCCTGATTCTGGTACTTCTTAGCTGTATGATGTTGGGTCTATTATTTTTAAGGATAAATTTACTTACCTGGTGATAAAATATTTGTCTTATGAAGTTGTAGTGATGATTAACTTATTTATCTGGAAAAATTAGGGCCTAGCTCATAGTTAGTATTTATCAAATATTTACAGTTGTTATAAAACAGTGTGATAGGATTTATCTGAATTACTTAGTCAAAATGTATTTAACATATAGCAATAAAGCTTACAGTGTTGTCCAAAAGTAAAAAACAACCCATGAGACCTGTCTCTGTCTGCAAAGAATCTATAGTCTTATAAAAGGTGAATGCAGGTACATGCCCAATACAACTTGTTTTCAAGTCAAACTTTCTGTTTAAAGTAATTAAGCTCTGCTAATTACTTGTGGGTAACCTTAGACAAGTTATATTTCTTCTCTGAGCCTCACAGTCCTCATCTCCAAAATGAACATAATAATAATGCCTACCTCATAGGGTTGTTAAATGGGATTAAATGAGATAATGTAAGAAAAGCATTTAGTAGTCTTCCCAGAACATCATCATCATTATCATTACATATTGCTATTATTTTTTTCATTCAGAGAATAAATCATCAGTAACTTAGGCCATGATTTAAAAAAATATAAAAATTCTGTTAATAAAACTTCTTTTTTAAAAAGATATATAAGATTCTGATGGAAAAAGTTACAGAATTTTGCTGAGTACATAAAAGAAGTCCTAAATAAATAGAAAGGCATACTATTTTCATGGATGAGAAGACTTAATATAGAGACAGCAATGCCTTTTTAATTAATATATAATTCAATACAATTCCAGTCAAAGTCCCAATGGGGGGGGGAGGTTTTCACTGAAATTAACAAGATAATCCTTAAATTCATATGAAAGAACAAATGATCTCTTTTAGGTTATTTTCTACTGTTGTCTATGTGATTTAAGTTTTCATAATTAAAAACTTAAAAATTACCACTACCACACCCCCAAACAAAACAAAATCCTATACACTCTATGTGTCCATGTTATTAAATCCACTTTTAAGATTTCTTAAAACTCACCTGCACTCCCTCAGTCAGTGTGAGGACTTTTTACTGAGGCCATCTAATATGACTCAACCATATTTTTCACTTTCCTTGAATTCTCTACTTTGCAATGTTCAAAGAGTTTGATGTTCACTTTTTTTCAAATCCCTTATTTAGGATTAGGGAAGCAGTTTAATCTTGCTACCCTACCTCGTTTTCTGAACACCAATCTCTCTTTAGTCTCCATCATAAGATACACTTTCAATGGATGGAAATGATTACATGATTACATTCAGTGCTTTTTTGCTTGTGGGCTTCAGTGTTGAAGTGGAAATCCCAAGAGGAGCCAGAAAAGATATACACAAAGCAACACACCTGGATACGAAAATGAAGAAGAAAGCACCATTACAATTTCAGCAATTTGCTCTACCACACACAAGTTATGCCTACCTTTAAGATAAGTTAATTCAGCAGTATTGTTGATGCTCAGTAAGTCAGCTCCTTGATTCTGACATGAAACATAAGCTTCTTTCCAAGAAAGAGCTGCCTGAGTGTTAAATTGGTAGCAACTTCCAATCTGCTCATTCTTTTCCCAATTATCTTTACAGCCATTTTCTGTTGATAAAAAGATATGTTAGTGATCATAAAGTAAGGGCCTAATGTTTCCTATTACTTAGGATGCTTACAAATACTGCAATTCAATTTGCATACTCTTAGGATATGTCAAAATAGAGGCTGCCCTTGCTTATTTAGACCATATTTTGATCCTTTGGTTACACAATAAAACTGGAATCATAACACACCAAAGGACTCAGGCTGGTTAAAGCTTCCACTCTTCATTTATCTTCTATCAATTACAATGCCATGTTTTTGCCCATGTCCCTGCCTGCCCTCTGCCTGAAGGTATGAGTCTCAATGTGCACATGTTGTGAACACTGAGCTATTGGAAAACAAGCTCACTTGAACATGGTGGCAGCCTGCAGAGGGTTTGCCCACAGACTGCAGAGAAACCACTGTATGTGTATATGCGTGCACAGACATGCTGCTTACATGGCCAAGATATAGAGCCCAAGTAACTACTTTATTTGGGAAACTAAGTCCAAGTTTCTCCTTAATATCTTAATACATAATTGAATATATGATATATAATTAATATAATTCACACTATATATACATCATATATGTACATATGTCTGCATATATGTCTATAAATATATATGTGCATTGTATAATGTATATATTATAGTCTTTAACAGATATATAAGAGCATGTATGATTTTGGACAAAGCAACTTCAAGCTGTTTCCTGGATGAGATACATAGGCTTTGAGACAACTGGTTCAAAAATACCCCCAGAGCCTCCCATGTGCCCCCAATAAGAGGGAAAACCCAAAGCAGGCTGAGTCAAGTGTGTCCCAGGCTCCTCTCAGGGGGTTTCCTCCTCTAACCAGTTTCATATCAGATGTTATACTCATGAACCTATAACCTGGAAGGGCCCTTAGAGATCATCTTGTCTAATGCTCTAATTTCACAGAAAGGAACAAAGATCTAGAGGTGATTGTGGCAGAGCTATAATCAGAGTACTGGTCTCTGAGCCTGGTCTTGTTGACCCTCTGAATGGCACATACTGCTTTTTTAGCCCTTTTCCTGTGGCATAAATAGCAACAGAGATTGTGACATTTGCTGAAAACAAAATAGGGTGAATTTGCAAGCACATTGCCTAAAGGTTCATTATTACCACTGAGGCCTTATATTTGTAAATTCAGAAGCTTCCAGTGGGATGGCAGTGTGTTTGCTGTATAACACAGCCTCCAGGATTTAGCAGTCCTCAGGTTTGAGAAACGCACAATCTTGCTTCTTCCATAAAACGTAACTCTGGGAGGCATATGGATGCATTAAAACATCCCCTCCCCCACACCTAAAGGAGGCTAAAGGCACCAAGACTCATCTCAATCAAAGCAGCAGGGAAGAGTTGGGTAAATATGCTCAGGAATGAGGATAAGGAATCCTGGATTCTCCACCAGGCTCCACAGAATGTGATCTGACTCTGACATGTCATTCCATCCACCTGGGCTTGCTGCCTCTCACCTGAGAAATGGGGGTTTGCACTGGATAACCGCTAAGCTCCCTTTCAAGCACCTGAAACTTCTGATCCAAACTACAGTGAAAGTTTAATGAAATTGGTACCTGGTGGACCAAACTCTGTTTGCTATGAATTACAGCTGAAACAAATATTGGCTTTTTCTATTTCAGTAGGTTCCAGGTGTTGAAAAGCCTGGCCTCTCCCTAAATTCTCAAAGCATAGTCCCCAGACCAGCATCATCATCACTTACCTGGAAACTTGTTAAATGTTGGGACCCCACCCAAAATCTACTGCATCAGAATTTCTGGAGGTGTGCCCTAGCAATCTGTGTTCTAACAAACCCTCCAAGTGATTCTGTTGTATCCTGAGGTTGGAAAACTATTGGCCCAGTATAACCTCTCCAAGTTACTTAGAACTCTGCATTTTGAAGCTCAGATTCCCTTAAGGAGGGATCAGCGTTACTAATACCACAGGCTGGCTACTCAATGAGGCAGGATAGTGGAGCTATTCAGGACAAGGACTTCACAGCCAGATTTCCTGGGTTTGAATCCGAACTCTGATATTTATTAGCTGTGTGATCTTAGGCAAGTTATGTAACTCCCCTGTGCCTCACTATGCTCATCTGTAAAATGGGGATAAATAATGGTGATTATTTATAAGGTGGTTGTGAAGATTGAAAGAGTTAATGTATATTGAGAGCTGAGAATAGTAGCTGATACCTGGCAGGGCCCTGTAAGTATTACCTATTGTCACTTAGGTCTGGAGCTCTTTCCTTTCTCTTTGCTATAGATTCTTTCAACCTAATCCTCATTAAATGATATTTTTTGAGCACCTATCACATGTCAGGTACTGTGACCCTCTCTAACTCTCACTTAATTGGTGAGAAATTGTGTCTCAGTTATATACCAGATAATGATGCAACTGCTACTTTGGTCTCTTTTTCTTCTAAAGAACAGCAAATTCTTTAGCACGCCCTGAATAGTTTGCTTCTAGTAAGAAGCAACTAGAAAAAGTGCTCTGACAAACACACAGGAATAGCTGAGGGAAAGTGTCACCAATTTTGGGAGAGCCAGAGATATCTGTATGTTCTGTCTCCCACTCTTTGCTTCCGGCCATAAACATATGTAACTCTTCCCCATGCTCAAAGTGTTGTTTCAACTCATCTACCCCTCAAATTACCCTTTGCTCTTTTAAATATAAATCACAGGAGGCTATTGTTTTGGACTAAGCTCTTGTAATAGGTTCGCCACTGCTCCACAGGGGTTGGGAAGCTGCAGCCTTCCATTATATTTTAATAAAATTCTTTTATTTTTATTAATACATTTTTGTTCATCTTTTATATTTTTATTTAATTCTTAAAACAAATCAGGATTTGTTCTGTAAAATTTGGATTCAGTCAAAAGTCCACATTTGAGGACCTTAAGGTCGCAGGTTCCCCATCCCTGGATGGAGTCACCCATTCCAAAGTTCCACATTACCACACTGAAACTGAGTTGTTATCTGGCCTCAGAAGAATCAGAAGAGGAAGATAACAGCCTAATTTCCCAAACAGGCCAGTTTCAATTGACATGATAATGAAATTCCTCTGTTTTAATTCTTAACCTGCAATCACCTGATATTAATAAATTAGTTATTTTTCTATTGTTCTGTCCCCCATCCCTGTCTTACAAGGAAAATAACTTTGAAATGATCAACTGCTTTTTGGTTTTTTGTTTCTGTTTTCTTCAGTCCTTAGTCTGGCTACAATGCCAACCTCTTCTGCTCCACTAACTGGAACACTTACAATCTTCTATTTTATGGAATCAAGTGTTGCCTGATTCTCAATAACACCAATTGAAATCTTTAAACTGTGTGAATTTGTTGTAATTTTGTCTAGCTCTCTCTTTTTCTTCCCCATGAAACTCATGAGGCTTACTTCCTCCTGTTCATGCTTTAGTCCACTACAACCCAGCTTCTTTCTACTCCTATTAGTCTTCTGAAACTGCTCTACGAAAGGTCAGCAGCAATTTCCTAACTGCTCATGTCTTTTCCACTTCCTCTTTCTGCAATGACTGTGCTATTGAACACTCCCCTCTGCCTTTGTTTTGCATGAGAACATCTGTCTTGGTTCTCCTCCTGACCTGTTTCTGAAAGCAAATTCATAGCTACACATCATCTCTCTCTCTTTCTCCAAACACATACTCCTTATCTAAGATAATATTTGTTGTAGTTGCTTTAAAGTCATCTTTCTTCTCCTTTTTGTCTCATATAAAATGGTACTCTCAGCTTGGTGCAGTGGCTCATGCCTGTAGTCTCAGCTACTCAGCAGGCTGAGGTGGGAGGATTGCTTGAGCCCAGGAGTATGAGGTGACAGTGAGCTTTGATTGTGCCACTGCACTCCAGCCTGGGTGACAGAGTGAGACCCTGTCTTTAAAAAAAAAAAAAAAAAATTGAAATTAAATAAATAAATAAATGGTACTCTCTTCTTTCCACACATAAAGTTTACCAGCCTGTACATACCTGGTTTTAAGCAGATGCCCCACTTTTGATCATATTCATAATTTAAGGTGGTGGCACACCATGGCCCATTATGATTGTCATCAAGAATGCACTCATGATGCCAGGTTCCATCAACTAAGAATGGAAACTCACAAGGTCTCCCATAGGAGTTCCCATCTCTGGTATATATCTCTGTGGGTTAGAGAGGGAATAGAGAAAAAGAGAGTTAAAAACCGGATAACCAGCTTTAGTTAGCTAATTTATAAAGCTGTTTTTAAAGAAAGATTGTTGTTTTCACTTATGAGAATACAATATCTGAGTAGGCTGCCTAGTGTGGAAATTAAGAGCATGGATGCTGACTATTTAGGTTTGGACTTGAATTCTGGCTCCCCCTCTGACCGCTGTGTGGCTGTAGGCAAGCTACCCAACCTCATTAGCCTTAGTTTCTGCATTTGCAAATTGGGAATAGGACTCAGTGAGATAATCCACGTAAAGCTTCATTTATTGTGGTGTGATAAAGAGCTAAAAGAGTCTGGGTTGGTCAAGTGAGGGTCTACTTACTCTGGTGTGGGCGGTGCAGTACTTCACCAGAAAGGGTGCCCTAACTAAGATTAAACTAACATCTATTTTCTTTTCTTTAGTAAGTGTGAGGCCATAAAAATACCTTGAAATCACTGAGAGTGGGTGTGGACTTTGGAACCACCTGTGGAGTTAGAGAGATGGACATATAGTCTCCTTGTTCAGAGACTGGAGGTAGAATTGAGATTGTGGGTTCTGAGGAAGTGAAGGGAAGAACCACCGAATTTCTGAGTAGATTCTTGAGGAAGGAGAGGGCATAGTAATTTGGTTATGAAAAAAGAACCAGCTTCAATGGGGCAGTCATGGGACCAGCTGGTGGCCAATGAGGTAGTACACCTAGCTTTTATTTTAATCATTTTACCTGGTACATAGAGAGGAACTGAAAAGTGATGCCAACCTCGAATATGCTTGGAAATGCTGGAGGAAGTGCTCAATATTTATATCGATAATAGTTCTCTTGGAAAGGTGTTTTTATAAAAAAACTAACCCTGTATCTGTTTCTGTCACCTTTTTTTATATTCTCAATTTGTTTAAAATTCTGGTCATTATCAGATCAAATAATGACTATTAGGTAAAGCACAGTAATCAGATCTTACCATCCTTTACCAAGCTATAAGGGTCCCTCAAAATGTCTCACAGATTTGTTTAAAAATGTGCTTAAGACAGACAGTATTTGGATCTGTCCAGTCACATAGCTCACCACTGCTACAGCCTACAAACAACTAGCAACTGAGGAAAACACTACACTAAGGATATCTATAACCAAGGCATTCATCCAGAACCTAGATTGCCATCAAAACATCCACAAGCAAAGCCAAAGGTTCTTACCCAACATATACTACAAACACACCCATACAAGTGAGGGGAGGGGAAAAAGCCCCATTTAAACAAAACAAAATCCAAAAATAAGAAGTAGCAGCTGCTCCAGATGAGAAGGAATCAGCAAAAGAGCTCCAGAAGTACAAAAAATCAGAGTGAAAGGACACCCCAAAAGGGAATACCATCTCTTTAGCAATGGATACCAACCAAAATGAAAATATTAAAATGACAGATAAAGAATTCCAAATGTGGATTGTAAGGAAGCTCGATGAAATCCATGAGAAAATGGAAAACCAACTCAAAGAAACCAGAAAAACAATTCATGAAATGAATGAAAAATTCACTAAAGAGATCAACAGATTAAAGGAAAACCAAACGGAACTTCTGGAAATAAAAAAATTCATTTAGGGAAATACAAAATACAGTGGAAAGTGTTAAGAATAGACTAGATCAGGCAGAAGGAAGTATCTCAGAGCTTGAAGACAACTCTTTTGAATTAACTCACTCAGTCAAAAATAAAGAACACAGAATTAAGAGGAATGAACAAAGCCTATAAGAAATATGGGATTATATAAAAGGGCCAAATATAAGAATCATAGGCATCCCAGAGGGTGAAGAAGAAAATACACAAAAAATCTATTTGAGGGAATAATTGAGGAAAACTTCCCAGCTCTTGCTAGAAATTTAGACATCCAGGTATAAGAAATCCAATGAACATCTGGGAGATTCATCACAAAGAGGCAATCACCAAGACACATAGCCATCAGACTGGCCAAATTCAACAGGAACTCTCGTGAACCATAAGGTGAAAACATCAAGTAATTTACAAAGGAAAACCCATCAGGCTAACTACAGACTTCCCAACTTAGACCTTACAAGCCAGAAGGAATTGGGGCCCTATCTTCAGTCTTCTTAAACAGAACGACTGCCAGCCTACAATTTTGTATCCTGAAAAACTAACTTTCATATATAAAGAAGAAATAAAGACTTTTTCAGATAAGCAATCACTGAGGGAATTTATCAAGACCAGAGCTGACCTGCAGGAAATACTCAGAACTACATTACAATGGATCAACATAATAGTCACCTACTAGAGTAAAACCACCCAAAAGCTAAAGCTCAGAGCTCGTATAAAACAATAGTACAAGAGGTAAAAAAAAAAAAAAAAAAAGCAATAAGGTACTACCTAACAGGACGAACAGATTAGCACCCCACATATCAATTCTATCAATCAACGTGAATGCTTTGAATTCCCCACTCAAGAGACATAGTTTGGTTGAATGGATAAAATAAATATAAGCCAAATATCAACTGTCTCCAGGAAACATATCTAACCCACAAGGACTCATACAAACTCAAGGTAAAGGGATGGAAACGAATATAACATACCAATTGAAACCAAAAGAAAGCAGGTGTAGCCATTCTCATATCAGATAAAAATGACTTTAAATCAACAATAGTAAAGAAAGATAAATATGGTTATTACATAATGGTAAAGGAGCAATTCAACAAGAAGACATAACAATTCTAAATATTTATGCAAATAACACAGGAGCACCCGATTTCACAAAGCAAAATCGCAAGCAAAGCAAAACTAGATCTAACCAAAGAGATAAACAGCAACATCATAATTGCTGGGGACTTCAACACCCCACTGACAGAACTGGACAGATCATCTAAGCAGAAAATAAATAAAGAAACATGGGACTTAAATGGGACTCTAGAAAAAATGGACCTAACAGACATTTACAGAATATTTTACCCCCAAATTACTGAATATACATTCTTCTCATCTGCACATGAAAGATTCTCCAAGACTGATCAAATTTTCGGCGAGAAAACATAGCTCAACAACTTCAAAAAAACAGAAATCATGCCATATATCTTCTCAGAGCACAGCAGAATAAAACTAGAAATCACCTCCAAGAGAAACACTCAATTCTACACAAAGTCATGGAAATTAAACAGCATGCTGCTGAATGATTACTGATCCAATTAAGACGGAAATTAAAAGATTTCTGTAACTGAATGACAAAGGGGATACAAGCTATAAAAATCTATGGGATTCAACAAAATCAGTCCTAAGGGGAAAATTCATACTCTTAAATACCTATAGCAAAAAGAAAGAAAGATCACAAATTAACAATCTAATGACAGGTCTCAAGCTACTAGAAATGGAAGAGCAAATTAAACCCAAACCCAGCAGAAGAAAAGAAATAACTAAATTCAGAGCAGAACTAAATGAAATTGAAAATAAGAAAATTACAAAGATCAATGAAACAAAAAGTTAATTCTTCGAAAAGATAAACAAAATCCACAGACTTCTTGCCAGATTAACCAGGAATAGAAGAGAAAGGACCCAAATAAGCTCAATCATAAATAAAAAGGAGATATTACAACTAATACCACAGAAATATAAAATATCATCAGTGAATACTATGAAAATCTCTATGCACATAAACTCAAAAATGTAGAGGAAATGGACAAATTTCTGGGAACACACAACCTCCCAAGACTCAGTCAGGAAGAAACAGAACTCCTGAACAGATCGATAATTAGCAACAAGATTGAAGCAGCAATAAAAAAAATCTTCCATCGAAATAAAGCCCTGGACCAGATGGATTCACAGCTGAATTTTACCAGACCTACAAAGAAGGGTTGGTACCCATTCTGTAGAAATTATTCCATAACATTGAGAAGGAGGGAATCCTCCCCAACTCATTCTATGAAGCCAGTATCACCTTGATACCAAAGCCAGGAAAAAATACAACAACAACAACAACAAAAAACAATGGACACAACAACAACAAGAAAGAAAACTACAGACAAACATCTCTGATGAGCATAGATAGAAAAATCCTCAATAAAGTACTAGCAAACCAAATTCAGCAGCACATCAAAAAAGTAATCCACCATGACCAAGTGGGTTTCAAGCCAGGGATGGAAGGATGGTTCGACATATGTAAATTAATAAATGTGATTCACCACATAAACAGAAGCAAAAACAAGATCATATAATCATCTCAATAGATGCAGAAAATGCATTTGACAAAATTCAGCAACATTTCATGATAAAAACCCTCAACAAAGGCATAGAAAGAACATATCTCAAAATTATAAAAGCCATATATGCCAAACCCACAGCCAGCATCATACTGAATGGGGAAAAGTTGAAAGTACTCCCACTAAGAACAAGACAAGAGTGCCCACTGTCACCACTTGTATTTAACATAGTGCCAGAAGCCCTAGCCAGAGCAATCAGGCAAGACAAAGAAATTAAGGGTATCCAAATCAGAAAATGGGAGGTCAAACTATCACTTTTTGCAGAAAATATGATCTTATACCTAGAAAACCCCAAAGATTCCACCAAGACACTCCTCGAACTGATAAATAAATTCAGCAAAGTCTCAGATTACAAAATCGACATACAGAAATCAGTAGCATTCTTATACACCAATAATAGTCAATCCGAGACTCACATAAAAGATGCAATACTATTCACAATTGCTACAAATAAAATAAAATACCTAGGAATATACTTAACCAAGGAGATGAAAGATCTCTACAAAGAGAACTATGAGCCACTGAAGAAAGAAATCACAGATGATACAAATAAATGGAAAAACATATCATGCTCATGGATTGGTAGAATCAACATTGTTAAAATGTCCATACTACCCAAAGTGATTTACAGATTCGATGCAATCCCCATCAAAATACCAAAGTTATATTTCACAGATCTAGAAAAAATAATTCTACATTTCATTTGGAACCAGAAAAGAGTGTGAATAGCAAAAGCAATCTTAAGCAAAAAGAACAAAACACATTACCAGACTTCAAACTATACTACAAGGCTATAGTAACCAAAACATCACAGTATCAGCACAAAAATAGAGACATAGACCAATGGAACAGAACAGAATATCCAGATATGAAACCATCTAGATATAGCCAACAGATCTTTGATAAAGCAGACAACAATACTGGGGAAAAGAAGCCCTATTCAATAAATGGTGCTGGGAAAATTGGATAGCCACATACAGAAGAATAAAACAGGATCCACATCTCTCACCACTCACAAAAATTAATTCAAGATCGACAAAGAACTTAAATGTAAGACATGAAACCATAAGAATTCTAGAAGAAAATGTTGGAAAAACTCTTCTAGATATTTCCTTAGGCAAAGAATTTATGAAGAAGATCCCAATGACAATCACAGCAACAACATGAAATAAATGGGACTCAATTAAATTAAAAAGCTTCTGCACAGCCAAGGAAATAATCAACAGAGCAAATAGACAACCTACAGAATTGGAGAAAATACTCACAAGCTATACGTCTGATAAAGGACCAATAACCAGAATCTACAAAGAAAGAACTCAAGCAAATCAGCAAGAAAACATCAAACAACCCCATTAAAAAATGGTCAAAAGACAAGAACAGAAGCTTCTCAAAAAAAGAAAGACAAATGGCCAATAAACATATGAAAAAATGCTCAATGTCACCAATCGTCAGGAAAATGCAAATTAAAACCACAATGCGATATCACCTTACCACAGTCCCAGAACAACAGATGCTGGTGTGGATGCAGAGAGAAAGGAACACTTATACACTGTTGGTGGGACTGCAAATTAGTACAACCTCTATAGAAAATAGTACGGAGATTCCTCAAAGAACTAAAAGTCCACCTACCATTTGATCTCACAATCCCACTATTGGGTATTTACCCAAAGGAAAAGAAGTTATTTTGTGAAAAAGATACCTGCACTCAAATATTTATCACAGCCCAATTCACAATCATGAAGATGTGGGATCAACCCAAGTACCTATCAATTCATGAATGGATTAATAAAATTTGGTATATGTATATCACGGAATACTACTCAGCCATGAGGAAGGATGATTTAATGAGTTTTGCAAAGATTTGGATGGAACTGGAGACCATTATCTTAAGTGAAGTATCTAAAGAATGGAAAAACAAACACCACATGTACTCACTATTAAATTGAAACTGATGAGCATACACATGCATAGAGGCAATTAAAACTCAGTGGAAATCAAGCAGGGGAGATGGGGGAAGAGGAGATGAGCAAAAACCTACCTAAAGGTACAATGAACACTAGCTGGGTGACAGGAACACTTACAATCCTGATTCAAGCATTACAAAATTGATCCATATAACCAAAAACATTTGTACCCGCATAATACTTTGAAATAAAAAAAGACATTATTTGATTGTACATTCTTTATTATTCTGAAATATTCATCTAACTGAAGTATGAGACTTAATTTAATAGTTTAGAATGTATTAAGCAGCAGTATAGCAAAAGGTAAGAATAATCTGGATGCTTTTCTTTGTAAACAATCTTCTAAGGATCACTGGGTTTTTTCCCCCTATGTCATATAAATGGTTTTAAAAAGGGTACTTCTGTTAAAGAGTATGTTGACCTTATATAAGGATCCTGCTTATTATCTATGCTTTAATTTTAACCACACCAAAACCCCCCAATAGCTCATGATCAATTTCTCTTCCCATATTACAACGCAAGGAGGAGAGTCCCTGAACACGAGGACTGTTAGTTATAGAATCATCAGATTTTTTTTCTGAAACCTTTTATTTCTGGAATACCAAGTGCTTTCATAAACATGTGTTTCACTTGTTTTTTACCATAAACCTGTGAGATCATAGGGGAAGTATTATACTTGTATGTGAAATCCCCATTTTTGCAGAGTAGTTACATGAAACATTGGTTGCTCAGCTGTAAGTGACAGGGATGGGAATAGGCATTCTGATTAGAGTCCTTGACATACAGGGACAACTTGTGACATCAATGGCTGCCTTCTGAGGTTTCGAATTAAATTTCATAGCTCAAAGCTGGGCTTCAATTGAAAAGCCCTCTTTGTCACAATATGCTTTGAAGAATGATGAGCATAGAACAACCACCACAACAGAAGCAGCTAAATTATGCTAACTATTCACTAACAGTTCTATTTCCACACATTCTTTGCTATTGCCGAACCTCTTAAATCCCATGAGTTTCCTTAGCAAGATAGGCTTTCCTGAGGAGGATCTTCTCTCTATGTGTGAATTTATAATGATAGTATGCTTAAAACAACAGCTTATTATGCAATTGGCATAAATTTGTGAGATGAAGTATTTAGGTGGAAAACTAGCAAATTAATAGCCTCAATGGTTAAAGAGGTGGCAGGCTTCTAAGAGTTGCCCAGAAGTTCAGATAGTTCTACCACCACTCTTGCACTGAAAGCTCACTTTCTCTGCATGATTCACCAAACATTCAAAATTTGAAAAGTGCTGGTAAGGTCAAGATATCTTAATGATGTAAATGCATAAGCGGGTGCTAGTCAAAAGCAATTCAATCATAGAATTTATACAGCTTAAGTTTTCTCTGAGATGAACATGACTCACACAGGATGGGGGTTGGGGTCAAAGGCAACACAAGGCACAATGATAAATAAACGTTCTTATATTAGAAGTAAAAATTTTTTATACTGCAACAGCCAAAGGAGAAATAAAGAAGCCATATTTGGGAAATTGATTTTGAGCCCTGGCTTTGCTGCTCAAGCTGGGTCACCTTGGACTTCAATTTGTTGGGACTCAGGTACCTTATCTTTCTTATTTCTGACCTGCTAGATAAGAAGGCAGTGGGGCAGGGACCAGTGTCAAGAGTCTGAGAGAACAGTCCTAGAGAAAGTCCCTAACTTAAGACAGTAGTCCCTAACCTAAGAACAGGAAGGGACATCCACAAATTTAAAAAGGTAGAATTGCCAGGACTCAATATTTGATTAAATTTGAATGTTGGGAAAACAAAGCAGGAAAACTCTAGGGTGACTTGCTGATTTCTGACATGTAGAACTTAGGTAGTACCAGTCGCCTAGACAGAAACAGAGAAGAGGTGGCTGGTTTGGCCCTAGCCTCTGTGCAAAGTAAAACCTGAGGTATGTCTAGCCCAGTCAAAACTATATATAACTTTAAAAAACATTTTAGTGTTCTAAATATTGCATTTGAAAAGGTCAAGAAATACTTTATGCCTGTGGGCTGTACTGGTGACACTGTTAACTCTCTTGGGTGGCATTCCAGGTGGGTTCTTAACCTTTTTTGTGCCACTGATTGCTTTTCAGCTGTGTGAAGCCCATGGACATCTTTCTCAGAAGAACATTCTAAATGCATAAATAAAACACATAGGATCAAAAAGAAAACCAGTTATACTGAAAGGAACACACTTTGGGGACTGAGGGAGTTTAAGATTATAACTATGCCCCTCAAAAAAATAGGGGGCAGGAAACTGAAAGAGTCTTGCCAAGAAAATTACCCTGTCTGATCCCTGGACACATACAATGAAATAAGTTAAATTCAGGTCAAAAGGCATTTCATTTGGTTCTGTGTTTTCTCTTAGTTGCCAAGTTAGAGAAAGGCTTTTGTAGCACACAATTTAAACTTGCCATGAAGTGGTATCCAGAAAGCAACTGCTTTAACTTTAAGCAACCACTTTAATTTTAGGAGGAAGCTGGCAAATAGAAACAGATTTGTCAACTACTCAAAGGTTGGGGACTGATAAAAAGGAAAGCCCATCTCTAATTCTCTAATATTTCTCCATAACAATAGAACCTGACATTCTCAGATTCTCTATGTCTTCACTGGGAAATACAAAGAGGCTCCCCAGGAGAAAAACTTGTACAGGTAATGGGATGGATGGGAATGAAGCCGTTATCCCGAGTCTAAGGCCAAATTTAGCTTAAATGAGCTTTAAGAGAAGAAGAAAACCTCTGTAAAGCTATATAAGTATGTAAAGAAATCAAGAGTAAGATAATAGGATTTAGATAAGATAATTATATAGATCAAAATTTGATGTAATTTAGAGCAACATAATGAAAAGTATCTGCTTGGGGGATAGCTCATTACATTTAGTGGTTAAAAGAAATAAACCTACTCCTTCTTTCTAAACTTGGAAATTAGTTGCAATCCAGTCCCTAGACTCAGAACAAAGTCATGGCCTGTTCCCCCAAAGGCAATATTCATACACTTATTTTTGGAAACAATAGAGAAAAAGTCCACTCCTAAAACACTGAATCATAAATACAAACATCAAAGTGTGACAGACACGCCAAAAATGAAAATAAATAAACCCACATGAGACTCAAAATTTGCCCATTATATAAAAATCTGTAGGCAAAGAAAAATATATTTATTTTTCGTTCTTCTTTTTTAACTTAGAATAAGATCAAATTATTGGATTGTTTGACTTTGGATCTATATGAACCGTTTCCTGTTAGTCTAATGTTTCTTTTCCCCTAGGGTTCAGAATGTCATCATTGGAAGTACGTATGCTCAGACATCAGATAGATTTCAAATCCCAGGTTTACCACACCATGGTTGTGTGACCTCTGACAGGCACCTAACCTCTCCTGGCCTTACCTGTAAAGGGGTGGGGAGCAAAGATCACCTGCCTCACAGGTGTGTAGTAAGAATGTATCTCAAAGCAACTGCATGGTACCTGGAATTGAATAGCTCACTCACTGACTTTACCAATGTACAACTTTATTTTTACACAATTGTGCATGTTCAATGCCACATTTAACAAACACAACAGCAAGTGGGTCAAAGTCCCACTCCAATACTCACCATGGTAGGGCTGGTCACAAAGGCTTTCCTCTGAGCCTCCTTTCTTCCAGACATCAGATGCGTTTGTAGTTGCTATGGCATGTCCGCCCTTCAGAGCCAGCCTGTACTGGGCAGCACCACACACTGAATGGCGATCACATTTCCACCACAGCATGACATTGGAGTCACAGCTGAACAATCTCAAGACATCCATGGGTTTGGTAATATCTAGGCCAAGGCACTTCTGGGATTGCAAATGAAAGAGTCGATGCTGGGATACCCACTTCCATAACATGTCCTCAGTTTCATCACAATCCGTTGCTACTATCCAGCCGGACAGTGGCTTGAGGCACTTGCCTGTGTTTCCATTGACGATAGTGAATGCATCATTACCTGGGTTGAGACAGACAGTGTGGGAAGACGTTTCAGGATTCTGAATTATGTGGTCGATGTGCCTTTCTCCCTGCTTGCTGAGGAAAGTCTGAGCACCACTGGACTGTCCCCTTGCACTACACAGGTAGGAGACCAGTGGTGGCAGGAGAGGCAGTACAGTGTGGGGTATGAGGGTGCACTCTGGAGCCAGTCTGCCTGGGTTTGTGTTCTGCCTCTGCTACTTCTTAGCCCTGTGATCAAGGCAAGTTATTTAACCTCTGTGCTGAAGTTTTCTCATTTGTAAAATAGTACCTACTTTATATGGTGGATATGAGGATGAAATGAGCTAATACGTGTAAAGCACCTAGAGTAGTATGTAGGGTTGTTATTGCTATTCCATGAAAGATTTCTCCCCTTCATTTAATAAGATAAAGAACCTCTTTAGTGTTCATCTTCCTTAGGTGGTCTAGGGTCAATGAAGAATGTCCTGAGCTTACTTGGGACCACAATTCTGTCTTTTTTTTTTTTTTCTCACAATTCTGTCTTGCTTACACTTTAGTTACCATGCCAGGGTAAATTACTTCATGAAAAATTGATGCTTTGTTCTCACATATGTTCCATTCCTTTCCTTTCCTCTGATCCAAGTATGCAATCGGGCCTCTGTGCTTCTCTGCATTGGGGCAAATTGGTGTGTCCACACAATAGGAGAATTTGCTTAAGGACCACTTCCCCCTGAACCTTTTGTGGAAGCCTGAATTCACTGAGGTGTCTCAGAGGAAATGGGGAAACTTTTGAGGGAGCAGAAGTAGAACAGCGGGGTAAAGAAATGAGAGGAAATAGAAGCCTAGGTTCTGAGGGCAGGGGACCTGTGGCCAGTTCCATTGTAGCACCCTCGGAAGGTGACGGGACCTGGGGAGGGGCTGGAGGGACCGTGTGGATCACCTAGGGAGGCTGAACCTTGGGCTCCAGGAATCACCTGAGCCACCAGATTCAGGATCCTGTGGGTTTGGACAATGGGAAACTCAGAAGCAACCAGTGGAACCTAAAAACTAAAGGAGAAACCACCCTGAATGTTCCTGGCACTTTGTCGGAGCTGGGAAGATCCCAATAATGACAAAAATTGAAGTTCTGCCAACCTGGTAGAATGGGAATTCAGAATAAAATTTAATTCAATTTTCTGAAAATAATGAACACTGAGTTTGTGGAGTAAGATTCACATCTGTTACAACAAACTATAATTGAACGATTTGGTTAGTTCTTTTATAAAGAAAAAAATTTAAAAGTTATAGCACAGATCATCATGTTGATAAGAGTAAAGCTAAAGTATTTTAGACAAGCTTAAACAATCATTGTTAATGAACCAGAGTTCAGCAGAAAGACCCGTAAGATTTTGTTTCCCAAAAAGCACTTTCATTTTGATTCCAGCTTCATAATCACTGGTTTTTATTAACACGAACACCTTTTCTCGTAATAATTCACAGTTTCAGGGTTAAAAATTCTCATTCTGGGGTCTGGTGTCTTGAGGGGAAATTTTACTATGTAAATAATAACTATAAAATTAAGTCTGATTGTACTTTCAACTTTGCATGGAATTTTTCGTTTTCACAGTAGCAGCAACAAGAGAAACAACAGGAACAACAACTGAAATTCTTTAAAACTCTAAGTTATTTCTGCTTTCAAATCTGAATTTTAAAATATTGCACATGTTTGCAGCTGGGTATGCTTGCCATAGCAGCTTCCATCACTCATTCTATCTTCTTTGACATTCCTCTGTCATTCTCTACTGATTGACACAGGTTGGCAGGATAGTCAACAGAAAAGGAAAATATACTATCTTATAAGATTAACACTACACTTTCTCTAATGTCCTTCTCCCATGTATTCACTAGCCACTCAGACATCTGATCTAACTCTTTTCCAAACTATTCTCTCTCACCCCTCCAAAATAAATCTTGTGTTCCAAGTATCAGGAATCACAGCAGGAAAAAAAAAGTCTGTTCCTGTAGGAGAGATGGCCACCACCTTTGCTGGAAACATCCCCTCTCCTGCCCCGTGGTCTTGCTGCTTTCTTTCCTGGGCATTCTGCTCTGTGCCCCTTGACTCCAAACAGGTGAACTGGGCAAGCAGCAACTTTGCTTTCTTTTGCAGATTGGAGTTCTAGATATTTCAAGCTGCCATTGTAGAATCCAATGGATTGGCTTATAGCTCTTAGTGTAGTGAAAAGAGAGCAGAATAAGGAGTTAGGAGTCCTAGATTGAAGACCTACCTCTGCTACCAGTTAGGTGGGAGAACTTGGGGAAGCCATTTAATCTCCCAGGGTCTTCATATCTCCAAATGTAAGATGAAACAGTGGATTATAAGATATCTAAGCCACTTCCAGCACTAACATCCTATGCTTTCACAAGGTAAGAGGTCCCCTAGCCTTGCAGGTTTTACTAGCCTTTGCTAAATTCATTGCATATTGTTCTTGAACAGATGTTCACAACGTTATTATGTCAGGCAACTGCTAGTAGCATTTCAGGTCATTCTAATCTCACTTGTATTGGGCATGTGTACTTAGCTGACAGTGCTGTTTTACAAATACTTTTCGGAAAATAAAAATTTACTTTACCATTTTCTCCACATTTTTGCTTCTGGGACACCTGTGTATTTAATAACCTCATAGGAACTATGAAACTCTGAAGGACTGTGGAAGAGGTGTGGAGTAGCATGAAATAGCTAGGTTAAAGCGAAGTTGCCAAGCTTTGTAACAAATTGCAATCTATCTCTGAAGATAGATACTTGCCTCAGTCTAAATGTGTGTTTGAACCAAATATGCAATTTCAATTTTTTACAGTTATAGTGGTCACTTAGTACAAATATTATTTATATACTTTAAGGAAACATTAGCCTTCATATCTAATGTGGTATAAGCATTCATATCTAATATTTAATTCATTAGCTAGAGAGATCTCGTCCTCTCATGATGTTTTCCCACGGCTTTCTTTACTCTTAGCAGGAGCTATTCAGTCTGCCTTAGTCTTATGACCCTTATCGGGATGAGCAGGTTGAAGAGTGGGAAGGACTGAGAAAATGTGAAAATAATTCCTTATTTAAAAAAATTCATTATATAAGGGTATATAATCTATTTTAGAAATGTATTATACTTTGAAAAAGTAATTAAAGAGCGATCTATAAAGTAGGTTCTTTATTGATAGCTTTATGTTGTGTCTTGTTCACTTCACAACTTTACACTGGTCCTCAGTGGGGTTTTAATGTTTATCTCCAAATACAATATTGGGAACATATAAAAGGTAGAGGTTGATGAAAAGAAGCTCATCACCCCTAGAAGCACTTTTAGATGCTTCATTTTATACAAATTCTCCAGTGGTGTTTGAGAGAAAATGGCTAAGTAGCATTACCATAAACTGAAAGTGAATTTTTAGTATTTTTACATCCATCAATGGGAAACCATTTCTCTCAGTGCTCTCTTATTTTCTGATCACTAAATAACTCCTGTCTTATAAGCCCTAGACCAAAGAGCTTTGCATATTCCAAAGAGAAGGCTGATACTGACATTTTACAACCATAGATAAATGGAGAGGGAAGTGGCGTGGGAAGGTAAGAAAGATGAAGACTGTAGCATTTACAGTTTCAGGGGAACTATCACAGCCCACACTGTGAGGTATTTTGTAGAGTCTCTACTATATGTGCAGAGTGTACAAGTAGGAGAGAACCAGAAGTCTGGGTTTACCAGTCCAAAAACAGGTCCTGAAGTAACAGTTGGGTCCATAGCAGTCTACTAGGAGTCAGAAAGTCTTCAAGCACAGATTGGGTGATGTGGATTGGGAAGAACCTCAGGAGTCCCTGGAGGATTGGTTTATTTCAAGCTGTTTGTTCTCCAAGCAGGCAAAAAAGTAAACTGAGCACTTGGCATCTCCCCAAGGAGATGGAGGTGCTGATTCAGCATTTGGATGACCAAGAGCCCCTGCACAAGCCCAGCCATGCACATGTGACAAGGTATGCACACCATTACTAGCATCATGAAGCTGACACACTGCCAAACAAGTTACCCAAATAGCTGGGTATTCAAAATTCCAGTACTTCCCCTAACAATGCCACAAGTCTCCTCTGAGGGTGAAAGCCGACCAGAGTGGTTGCTAGGAGTAAGGAAGGATACAAGAAAACAAATACCTGTGGGGACCTAAGTGCAGGGAGAATAGAGTTAAACCTGGTGGTGCTCTGCTTCGGGTCAATGAGAAAGGGCAGGGATTGTAGAGATTGCAATAATTGAGGAAATCTTGAATTTTGTCTTAGGGCAAAAGCAGATGTAGACGGAAACCAAGAGGTTAGTGATCAAATGCTTAGATGTTTTCACTGTAGTTAGTTGCTGCAGTGAAATTTTTCTCCTGGATCGTGGGGCAGGCAGAATAGAATTCTCACAGCAATAAAGGATCTTATTATTAATGGATCTTTTGGTAGTTTCCAGCTCAGAGGGTCAAAGAAGACTGGAGAAGTGTTAATAAGAGCAGAGTCCATTAAATCCCCTTGATGTAGATAGGATGATGCCACCCACTCTGAGAAACCGCTTCCCGTCACTTTCTGAAGAAAGTCTAAACCAGATGGTAACTTAGCTTAACTGTAAAGAAAATAAAAGCCACAAACAACTTAACGTTTTTCAGACTGTCTCCACTGCTTTTTCCTTCCTCATACAGGCAATAGAACAGGAGTGGTGGATGGGGACTGTCCATACACTGCTCATTAGGCAGTCCGACCAAGAAGCAAGGTCCTCTGCATACCTCTTGCCAAGGTGAAAAGAGAAAGTAAAAGCGAAATCTGATTGCTGCCAAGGGGGCTGGTGGGGCTGGCATTACCCTGAACATCAGCGAAGGTCGTGTGTTCCTGGTCGTGCTTCCGTAGTGAGAGGCAAGAGATCCCCAAGCAAGCAACCTGCGCTTCAGCATGGGGCTGTCAGCCTTGGGGGAGTGGGAAGTAGGAGGGGAGAGGGTCGTTTGGAGCTGATAAGCCGTTTAGAGGAAAGGTTTGCTGCTCTAGGCAGTGGGGGAAGGCATCATAACAGACTCTCCGTCTTGCTCACTTTTAGAGAAGATAGTTTCCTTAACCTGACTTCATTTTTAACGCACACCGTGGGTGCAGTGAGTCGGGAAGTCATTGGGAATCCTCGGCGCTGAGTGAAAGCTCGTCTTGACACTGAGTGGCCAAGGTACCAAGGTGACCAAGGGGCAAAGGAAACGGGGAGAACAAGTGGGATAGGACGTAGGTGGAGAAGGGGAGCCCCATACTCCAGGGATGCCACATTTTAGAGGAAAGATGAGGAGGAAGGGGCGGGAGACCTGCCCAGAAAAGACCCTATGCGCCTCCGCTACGGTGGACCCTCAGCACCAGAAAGGCTCTGTCCTCCCCACGCCCTACTGCTCCCTCCTCGGGGCCCGAGGGCAGTGGAGCGCCTTCTCTGCCAGACCTCCCCTTTGGCTCACTTGTCTGGCTCCAGAGCCCCCACCCCTAGCCCCAGCCCCCGAGCAAAGCAGCCGTGACCTGACCCCGGACGCAGCCCTGGCGCAGGAGGAAAGTCCACAGACCTGCAGCGTCGAGGCCCCCAGCGCACTGGAGGGCGGACGCGCCCGCGATTACCTGAGCGGCCAGAGGGCTCGGCAAGCCCGAAGCACCGGAGGAGCAGCAGGAGGAGCCCTGCCGCGCGGCAAGGGGTCGCCCAGCGCGTCCTCATCCTGAGCCGGCCCAAGCTGTCGGACCCGGTCCTCGGGCGCACGCGGCACCCACCGCTCCTGGTGAGCCCAGCCGGCCAGGCCAGCGCCTCTGCCCCGGGCCTCCCGGGGCGCATAGGCCCCGCCCCCGCCGCCTTCGGCCAATCAGACGTGCCTCTCCTCGGTCCCGGTGAGGGCGGGACCCGGGTGTGGGGAGCGGGAAGCTCTGGACACCTGCGTGGGGTGGGCCCTGCGAGGAGGCGGGAAGTGCCTGTCGAGGGAGGTTCCGGTCCCTCCGCTGCTTCTGCAAAGTTGGGGAGATGCGGCCCTAGCTGGGACTTGGCATCGCCTTGGTGGGAGGGTTCTGGTCCTGCCCCTCTGCCCAGGGCACCGCAGTCAGGGATGACTTCTTCATTCCAGACTGGGCTGAGAGGGCACCCACATCCCCTTCGACCCCAGAGGGGAACCCGTCGTTGGGCGCTGTAGCCAAGCTAAAGAATTCAATCGTCTTGTGTATTTTGATAGTACAAAGGTGGGATAATGGTACACTGCTGTTCTGTCGGCAGTTGTTAAAAAATTAAAAGCAAGACTTATCCAAGTGACCCTACAATACTTCCAAGGATGAATTAGGCTTTATAACCATTTGACCTTTGCAAGTAAACTCTTTTCTGAATAATTTGATAATAATAATCTGATAGAAGTGTGAAAATCTGCACCCAGAACCGGAGATTGCAAGCCCCCTTTACTCTTTCCCTATAGACACGACTATCATTTGGCATATTTATAAGGCCAAATTCCTAATGACCTAAGTTGCTTGGATGCGAAAGTCCTATATCTTTAAACCCCATATTTAATGAGCACAAGCTGTGTACTTGGGATGGCCTCCATCCTTTTCCCCAAGAGTGTTTCCAGGTGGATGCAAGGGCCTAGGTTGCTATTCCTGATTCCAACTGCCAAGGCTTCATGGATGGCTCCCAAACCTGCCCTGGCTCTGTCCTCTCCCCAGGCCTTTCAGTTCAGCAGATACAATGAGCATTTACCATCACCGGAGCTGGGCACCGCGTGGAATAGGAGGATGAAAAGCCTGAGCTCTCAAGCTTACTGAGTACTGGGGGAGACTGAGGCACACACGGTGACTCAGGGAAGAATGAACGGGGAGACGTGGACAGAGCTTCAAGGAAGGCAACACATCAACTGTGCCTTGAAGAATGGGTAGGAATTTGGCCAGGCACAGCTGATGGGAGAAAAATAATGACAGAACAGGGGAAGAAAAATGCAAATCAGGGTCAGAAGACAGTCCAGAGTCCATCATAGCTGCCCTGCAGGCTGTGTGCGTGTGTGTGTGTGTGTGTGTGTATGATGAAAGTGGTTGTGGTCGGGGCCTAAGTGGAAACGACAGCAGAAAGGTGAGTTGTGTCTGTTTTGTAAAGGGCCTTAACTATATACTGAAGACTTTAACTTTATTCTTCAAAGAATGGACAGTGGAAAGTTCTGAGTAAGAGAACCTGCCACTGACTTGATCGCCTCTGCCTCTGTAGCTGCTTGCCTTTCTTTCTGCCCTGCCCACCTTGGAGATTTTTGAGGGCAGTGGTCTTGTTTTATTCATTATCACCACCTCAGCACTGGGCACAAGGCCTGTCCCGGAGTAAACTCTCAATAAATGCTAGTTTAATTAATGAATGAGTTTCTAGAGCCACCACCTTAGCCTAGGGCCATGTGAGCTCCTGCTTGCATTATATTGCAACAATTTCTCAATTGACCTCACTGCCAACAGTTATTATCCTCTCTGACAAATGAATCCTCCTGAATGCTGTTTGCAACACACCATGGTTCTACCTAAACCCTTTCAGTGCTCTTTGCTTATAGCAGGAGTTCCTAAAGGGGAGTTAAGGGGGTTTGGGAACCTCTGAAATTTTATGCAGCTTTATAAATGCATTTTTTTTTTGGATGAGGAGGAGGAGGAGAAGGGATCCAAGGCTTTCATGAGAGTCTCAGAGAGGCCCATGATACCAAAAGAAAACTCCAAGATAAACAAGTATCTCTATAATCTGACCTTTTATCTTTAACTCCCCTCCTGTCACTCCTTGGTTCAAGCAGCCTGTCTGAACCTGTCTTACTGAAACATCTATATTAAAATAATGTAGAGCCACAAAGTATAAATAGTAATCCAAGTCTAATTTTTAATAAAAGTATAGATATAGCCAGAAGTTAACCAGCCATTGTCCCTTAACTCTCTTGCTGCTGTTTTCCGTTGCGACTTAATGGCACCATCCTCCCTAACACGTGCAGGATTTGTGACTCCCCTCGACTACTTCTGTAGATAATCCCACGACTTGTGATTCTGTAGATAACGTTGCTGTCAAATATCCCAGGACTTGTGTTTGTATGGATAACATTGCTGTGGTAAATCCTAAGACTGGTCTTTGAGGTGTTTTTCAGACTCTGCATTCCAGGGACCTACTTACACCAACCAGACCCGTGGATCGGCGTGGGAATGGAGCCAACAGCCCTGAAACCCCCTACCCAGGAAACCTCCCAACCGAGAAGATAATTTCTGTATCTCAACCCTATGAGTTCATCCCTTACCAATCAGCAGACCCAATTCCTTAGCCCTTTGTTTGCCAAACCACCTTTAAACACTCTAGCCCCAAAATTCTCAAGAAGATGGATTTGAGAAATTACTCCCATCCCCTTACCTGATGCCTTGCGAAATAAAACTCTTTCTCTGCTGTAACACCTGCTATCTCAGTATATTGGCCTTCACTGGGCAGTGGGCAGGGAACTGGTTGAACAGTAACATTGCCTTTTCCTATCTCTGCCTGTATGCTCATATCCAGATTGCCTCTTTTTCTCTGTCCTTGTCTTATTTCCACCCTTCCTTTAAGTTTCTGCTTAGATTTCCCATTTTATATAAAACATTTCTATGAAAGGCCCTAACCCTTGGGATTACCACTCCTCCAAACATCTATATAGTATTGTACATTCCGTTTACTTAGCATTTAATATATATTTCCTCCTCCCGCTATTTTTTCCTTAGGGACATGTGCACTGATACTCCCCCTAGGTTGTAGATTGTCAATAAATATTTATGGTTGATGGTGACAATAGAAAGCAGTGTATCCTTCAGGTCTCACCTTAAATGTCACTTTCTCAAAGAAATCTATTTTTCTTGACTCTACAGGCTAGGTAAACTTCCTCTGTGATGAGTTCTCAAGGCATCTCACACTTTTTCCTGATAGCACTTAGCACGGCTGGATTAAATCATTATGTGCTCACTCAATTGTTTAATGTCTGTTTCCCTCGCCAGGCTGCAGGCTTCACGAAGGCCGTGACTATGTCTGCTTCATTCACTTCTATGTTCCTAGTAGCTGACACATGATTTGCTGGTTGGATGAATAAATAAATGTGTAGTAAATGCCCCATAAATGGTGCAGGCAATGGGAGATCTAGGGCCCAGGCATTTAAAAGAGGGGAATATTGGCTTGGGTAGGAGGGTGGGTCTTCAGGCACTGAACTGAATGTCCTTGGATGAGTAGCATTCAATAGGTAGAGGCGGTGAGGACCATAGGCTGAGGCAATGGTGTCAACAAAATAACAGACATTGATAAATGTTTGAGATGATGGATATGCTAATTACCCTGATCTGATCACTATACATTATACGTATCAAAACATCACTATGTACCACACAAATATGTACAATTATTATGTGTCAATTGAAAAATAAAAATTTTAAAAGTATAAAAGAAAGAAATAAAAATATTAACAGACATCTGCCACCCACTGGGAACCAGGCCATTGTACTAAACATTTCCCATGTACTCTCTTGTTTAGTAATCATCCCATGAAGTAGGTATGACTATTATCCTCATTTTAGGGATCTGGAAACTAAGTCAAGGTTAATAACCACAAGTGAAGATACCCTAATTGAAATCTAGCTCTGGAACTTGCATGAGTGTGTGAGAGAGTTAGTAATATTTTATTACCAATCACAATTAGGGAAAAGGGGAAAATGAGCTTTTGGGGTCTCTAAAGTCATGTTTTTAATTATAAAAGCTATCACACCTAAAAAAAGAGCAGCTATGCTTGTGGGCCTCTTCCTGATCATATTCACCTTATTCCTACACATAGGTAAATTCTACTCTAAATTATTTATCATTCCTTTTTTTTTTTTTTTTTTTTAGAGAGACAGGGTCTTGGTCTATCACCCAAGCTGGAGTTCAGTGGCCCAACCACAGCTCACTGCAGCCTCTAACTCCTAGGGTCAGCCTCCTGAGTAGCTGGGACCATAGGTGTATACTACAATTCCCCGCTAATTTAAAAAAAAATTTTTTTTCATAGAGATGAGGTCTTGCTAGATTGCCCAGGCTGGTCTCAGACTCCTGGCCTCAAGTGATCCTCCTGCCTTGGCCTCCCAAAGCATCATTCTTTTCTTTATAGTTTTCCCATATATGATTTAATCTCTTAAACAGTATATATAATTTTGCATATTTTTGAATTTTATGTAAATAGAATCATGTCAAGTGTTTTTCTTTTGTTGCCACTTGTCTTTTTTGCTCAATATCATGTCTGTGACATTCATCTATGTTAGTGTGTATAGCTGTAGTTCATTCATTTTATGTAGTATTTCATCATATGACTAAAACAATACACTTTATCCATTCTCTATTGGTGGACATTAGAATCGTTTCCAGCCAGGTAGTTTCCATTTGGGTAGTTTGCTGTCCTTAACAATGCTTCTGTGAACATTTTTATACCTGTCTCTTGGTGTACATTGCCAGAGTTTCCTGAAGATATTGCCCTAGAAATAGAATTCCTGGAACAGAGGATATGTTCAGTATCAACATTATTGGACGATGCCAATGTACTTTCCAGTTTCCACTCCCACCAGTGTATACAAGCATTCACAATGCTGAACATCTTCATCAACATTTGGCATTTTAAAATTTTTGGTGAGGGGTAAGAGATATCTCATTGTGGTTTAACATTGCATTTTCCTGATTGCTAATGAGGTTGACCATATTTTTCACGTTTATTGGTTGTTTGTATTCCCTTTTCCCATTCTTGGATAGGTTAT